GATTGATAGCTGCACTAATCAAACTAATAATTTTAAAAAAGTAATCTTGAAAGAATGATTTGGCCACACCCTAAATTTGTTCGCTTGCATGCAATGCACACATTGCACAATAAGTAACGGTGTCCCTGGATTTGGATCTATAGAATATCTGACCAGCTCAGCTTTCTTGTCTTCACAATATTGAGGATCCTTTTGCCAGCCAGAGTCTAAGTGTATAAAAAATACAAACTAATAAAAAATCTTGAGTCAATGAGCACTAAACCACTTTTATCTGGTCTAGATCTAGATGTATGTGACATGAAGCTTTTCAGAATCGACACTAACATTGGGAAAAAGTGGCATTGAATAAATCCACATGGAGAGTGACCATAAAGGAAGGGTCCCGGATTGCAAATATCATACACAACAGTAGTAGAAAGAAGTGTGAAAGTACAACAGTGTCTGGTGATTACATATGCCCAACCTGTAACCGCAGCTGTGTCTCAAGGATTGGCCTCTTTGTCACACAAAAAGTTGCAAAAGGAAAAGATCATTTCTCAAGACATAAAATGGCTCAGAGAGATCTAGATTGTAGAAGATTCTATATATGTAGATTTGGGTATTAGATAACAATAACAGTACAAGTTCTGTTAGTAGTTACCATTGTAAACTAGATTGATTCTCCAATAAAGATCTATCTAGAATTCAAATTAGATCTATTCTATTAAAGTAAGGTCTATATAATATAATAAACATACTATATATATACCCTTATATATCTATAGATAGATCTAGATTAAATTTAATCTTTAATAAAAAACAATTATGTTTCCATATTTTAACCTTAAATTGTTGTATACATTTTTCGAATGTTCCTTCAGAGTTGAAGATAATCTACTTCCAAGTCCAAACTTCCTGTAGTATGACAGGGGATGGCAGTGGGCATGGTATGAACTGAGGACCATTGAGATGACAGAACGGTAGTCCATATTGAATATTGTACGACAAGGGACTCTATAAAGTCTAGGTTTTAACTTGTAATGGATCAAGAACTATCAGAAGCTCAACTTGTTGGTCAAGAATCTTTAAGGATTAACATCCAGATTGGTAAGCATTTTACTCATTTTGACACATTGAATTAAAAACATAAAAATCTATTCTGATAAATACAAGTGAAGAGGATTTTTTTTTAAAGTTCATTTGCCTTATGGAACTTATTAATAACAAATAGTTCTACTGGTGGTGTCTGTGAGTGCTTGCACAAGGAAGGAGGAAGCATATATAAGAATTATTATTTTAACACTTAATTATTATAATTTTTAGTTGTATGTTAACTGTATGTGTTGTTGTTTATTTTCTGTACTGGTGTAAATCTTTTCACTGTTTATACACATAGATTTCTCAATCAATATATTATCTAGTAAATTACGAGAACTAGAAAAATTATTCAGACTACTTTTTTGTCTTTCTTACCAGATACACAGGAATTAGAGTCATCAGGTTTGGAGGAAGAGACAAGTGGTGTTAACGAAGGTATTATTTCATTCTAACAAATAACATTACAGGCATTATTCGGATGGTAATTTTTTAGCATTCTTCTTCCCTAGTGCAATTAGATCATGGAATGGGCTGCCTGAGTCAGTCAGGAAAATCAATGACTTAGCAGAGTTAAAGTCACTGATTAAATTTCATGACTTAGCTTGACCTAGGAACATGAGTAGCTTAATCATCTTCTTTTTTTTTTTTGGGTAGTAATGTCTGTATTTTATAAGATAGGATAAGAAGGGCTTTTTGTTTTAGCAGAGCATATTGGAAATCTGGATCCCTGCTTCCTTCATGTTATAAGGGTAAGAAGATTGTTTTAAGTAAAAAGGAATGTGGTTGCAAGCATCTGAAATTCTATTGTGTATTCCTTGAAATGGGAATGTGTGATTTTGATGAATCAGGCAACCTCTGTATAAAAGAATGTAAAGATATGATGTCCCTTTTGTGTGTCAGGATTTTTTTAGTAGGACTCATAGTATAAAGGAATTTAAAATTGTGCATTGCATTCATTATATGTGTACAGAAATTTGGGAACATGCAAGTTTGTATTTAGCCACAAGTGTATATTTATGTAGGTGAGTGAGAAGTGTAAAGTGTTGAACTATTTTTATTCCGAACTAGTTTTTTTCTCAATTTGAATCTGAAGTTGTTATATTATCTTTGATCACTAAGAATAAAAAAAGATATAAAGGACAGGTACCTAGATGTACTAAAATTCTGTGGGAAATCATGGTTGAGAGGCTAAGTGTGCTTCAAACTAGGCTTGTCTTGGCTACCTATGAAAGGGGCTCGAGTTTCAACACCCGACTTGAGCAGTTTTGTTTACTGAGCGCTTAAAGGCAGCACGGAAACTTTTTCCCCGGTACCCCCCCTCCCCCACTGGTCCACAAATGAGATTGGACCATAGCACTCTGAGCTTGCTCTAAGTATGAAAGTAGCACTATTAAAAAGCTATAAATTATTTTATTTTTTATTTATTTATTCATCTTTCTGGAAGCCTGTTTACTCTTTCTAATTGAACAGTCTTAAACTTTGTCCCCTCTTTAGGCCATTCACCTCACTATTTTACAGAGAATGCCTTTTTTTATATGGAATAGAGATAAGAAAGTGGGAGAGGGTTGTTTTGAATTCTAACACCCTTTACAAACACATTAATAATGAAGTAGTTATAGCATAGAGGCATGGTGGCTGAGCGGTTAAGTGCTTGGCTTCTGAACTGGGAATCCTGGGTTTGAATCCTGTTCACATGACACCCTTGTTAACTGTAGGCCACAGAAACAGATGACCTTTACATCATCTGCCCTATAGGCCACAAGGTCTGAAAGGGGAACTTTACTTTACTTAGTTATTGCATAAAGAATAGTAGAAATTCTTTTCATTATGCATATACATATGTTTTGAAATAAAAGATAGCTAAGTGATTTATCTCAAATTAATATAAGCTAGGAATAAAAATACTTCACCATTTTCAATTTTATTTCAAATCTGTATTAAGCATTCTAAGAATATGATATGTTTTATAAGCTGATATTATCTTCAATTTTTTTTTTAAGGTGAATACGAGACAGACCCAAATCAAGCCTGGACTAAATGCTTGAAAAATCCTGGCCATAAAAATTTCATACCTTTCAAAAATTTTTCTGTCACAGATCTACCTCAACAATATCAGCATCAAGATATTTTTAATTTAATTAAATACTTAGGTAATCTTGTAGTAAAAATTAGTGTAGCAGTAACAAGTACATCTCGACCGAAGTACAAGGAAAACAAACTGTATCCTTGTTATACTAACAAAGGTTTGAGAAAGCTAAGGTATGGAAGTGGCAGAGTCTGGGATGTTCAGAAATTTGGTGAAGGTGATAACAGACTTTGCCAGTGCAAAAATTGTCAAAGATCAAGTTCACCCTTCAAATGCTGGGGGGAAGTAAACATCGTCACAGCGACCCATGTAGTGTTTGACAATCTGGAGGGCCAGTTTGCTAAATGTTGGTGGAACTACAGCCACAAAGACAGCAACTATACATGTTTAGAAGGTATTGGTGTTGTCAACAGTAACATTGATACAGATCTGTGCTATTTTAGATGTGTGACCCATGACGTTCAACTAGTAGACCGGCTGAAAATTGGAATAGACAAGTATAATGAGCAATGTGAGGTTGTCTATCAAAATTTTACTAAAAATCTGGGCACAAATGCAAAGTTGGTAGCCATTGTCTCTCACCCACATGGCAATTACAGGCACGTTTCAGTTGGTGAGTGCAACCAGGTCAGCAAAACACCCAGTGGAGAGACCTGGTACAGCTACAACACTTGCACATGTCAGGGTAGCAGTGGTGCACCAGTATACCATTTGGGCAAAGAGAAAGTAAGATGGTCTAATCATCCCCATAGTGGAACAGACATGCCTGTCAATTATAGCGGTGTGTGCTGGAACTAATGTTCAGCTGCCTACGACTAGAGATTTTAACACAATTATTCCAGTTGTACATATTGTTCATGAGGTGCAGTGGTAAATCGCTTGGCTTCCAAACCAATGGTTCCGGGTTCAAATCCTGGTGAAGATTCTGAATCCATCCAGCTCTAATGGGTACCTGACACTAGTTTGGGAAAAGGAGGTTGGTCTATGCACTCGCCACATGAGACTCTTGCTAACCGTGAGCCACAGAAACAGATGATCTTTACATCATCTGCCCCATAGATTGCAAGGTCTGAAAGGGGAACTTTACTTTTTTTAAAAATATTGTTCACTAAGAGAAAAAAATTGATATAAGGAAAGAGGAGTGGCCAAACCAGTCGTCATCAGGAAACACATGCAGAGCTGTCAACAAACTTGACAGTATTAACTTCCTCCCCTGCAAAAGAGCAATCAACAATCTTCAACACACACTTCTGTTAACAAAATAAATCCCACACACCTATCCTTTTGTAATCACTGCGCCCACCCTTATGAAACTGTAAACCAAATCCTCTTTGAATGCCCCTTCCTAATCCACCTTAGGCAGAGCCTCCTATGATTTCAGCCCAAAATAACCAACACCCTGTACAACAGTTCTAAACAACTAAAGAGAATGGCACTCTATTTTTCCATGGCAAAGTTCTATTTTTCCTTGGCAAAGTCTGCAAAAGAGCTTAAAGCTCAGCAGCAAAAGCTGGTTAGAAGAAGAAGCAAAAATTACTTAATTTGTTGTAAAATATTACGTTTTTTGTAGAATCTTTTTGTTACATTGTTTTTTATTGTCATGTTATTATTAGAACTTAACAATTTATAATTTCATTCAATATTTCTTATTCCTTGAGCTAGAATGCATTAGTAGATAAGTATAAGTGATCTCTCTTTCCTAGAGCAATTAGAGCATGAAACTGGTTACCTGAATCAACCAGGAAAACCAATTACTTTAAGACTCTTGTTAACATAAATGATAGATTAGCACATGCTTATTCCTATGAGATACAAATTTTATATAAATTACAGACCTTTTTAAAAAAAAAAAAAAAAAGTACCGGTAAGTGAAGTACCCTTCTAAGAGGAAGACGATGTAAAGGTCATCTTTTCTGTGACCAACCATTATTTATGGTGTCAGTTGGCCATCACGACCTACGGTTTTACTTTTCCCTAACTAATGTCAGATACCCTGTATAGTTGGACGAATTCTGGTGCACCCTAAAAATACTGAAATTCACAGAACCATTTTCACCAGAATTACAAAAACATATGTTTATTTACTTTAAAATAAATATTTCTTTTTTTCAATAACTAGATCACTGCACACAAAATATCCTTTTTCAGTAAAAACAAGAACCTCCACTTTAACATGTTCCTACCCAGCAGACAAACCCAGCCTGACTTTCATTCTTACCCATAATTCTTAGTCTAAGACAAACTTTGACCTATATATATGTATTTGTTACAATAAACATTCATTGCCTTTTATAATTTTTTTACAAGGTTTTTAAAACATGCGCTTTGTTGGCTTAGTTAAAATATCATGTATGCTAATTAACAAAATTAATAACTGTCAAAATGCTTCCATTGTTTTCTAGCTATTTCTATAAAAAAATTTGTCTTAATTTACTACCTTGTTGCATTTAAAAGTAACATTTTTCTACACACTTGTATTTTAAGCATGCTTCTTACATATAAAATGTATGGTTTTTATTTTTCTTGATACATTCGCTCATTAAAAAAAGGCCTAATATCTGCTAACTTAATTTTAATTTTTTTGTATTGATACAGTCAAAACTCAAATGGTGAGTAATCATTTTACTTGTTGTATTTGATTTAAAGTTGCATGCCCATAATTGTCCGTAAACTATTGGTAAATGAAATATTTGTGGGTCTAACAGTGAATTAAAATCTTTATGTGTGATGTTGTGTTGAAATGCAGATGCCTATTAATACATGTTTTGGCTTATATGTTTTTTAGATGTTAATTAATTGTGTGTGCATGTAAGTTCTCAGTGAAAAAACAAATTGTTGTTTTTAGTGACTTTATAATAGTTGAGCGTTGTAGTTAAAACAATTGTATTGTACTGCTGATATCTATGTGTAGCATAATGAAGGCTCATGGAACTTCCACAAACTCTATATTTTATTATCTTGTTTATATAATTGTTGCGAATCGGCTATACATGAGATTTTGTAGTATTTTTTTTAAATTGCTTCATTATTGAATAATAAATTTTTGTATATAACTATTTCAGGCAACTATAGGTAAATTTTATATTAGGCCTACTATATATATTCTAAATATTCTAATCATTTTTAGATCTAATAATAAATACATTTTTTTTGTGATTATAGGTTTCCAGTGTAATTTGTTAATTCTTATTAATTAAGATACTATTTATTGAAAAAATATAAAATATTCAGATTTAAAGTTGAAATTTAGTTGTTGTGGCTTGTAGGGAAAAGATGGAAATAAAAATAAACTTCCTACATAGGCAAAAGTAAAAAAAAACATTTGGGCAGCTGATTGAGAAAAACATTCATAAGCAAGCTTGAAAAGATTCTAGAAATAAAAAAAAAATCACCCTTTGGGTCAGGATTTGGGAAAGACAGACACAATAACTCTTTTGTCCCCCTGACAAATAAAATCGAACTGATATAAACTTTTCGCTTGTAAATTATGAGTGAGTCTAGTGTGAATATATATTTTGGTTTTGTATAGTTATGTAATACCGTTATGTTTTGTTTGGTGTAATCAATGTAATGCACAAATTGCAAGACAAGTTTCCTTATGGAAAATAAAGACTATTATTATTATTTAAAAAAAAAAACGAATTTTTTTTTGGCATCGTCACTGACACTATTTATTATTGATCACGATTACTGAAATGAATTCCCGTTGATTTAATGATTATAAAGTCATGGGTGTTGGACATTCAATTCAAGAGTTTGTAGGCTCATTAGGTAGGCTTATACAAAATACAGAGATTAATTATAATTTATAGATCTATTAAAAATTTAAGATTATTCTAGATTCAAGATCTAGATGAGATCTGTCTATCATTATCATAATTCATATTAATAATTAATTAGGTCTATAAATATAAAATAATATTATTAAGTCAATAGTCACGACTAGACTAGTGTCAGTCAACTGTCACAAAAAGTCGTGTCAGAGACCCTCTATCTAGACTAGTGATTATAATTTAATAATATAATATAGTGACTAAAGTTAAAAGTAAATCTAGAGTTTAGTTTAGTAACTACGCTGGCTCTGAGTCTAGATCTATCCCATAGACTATAGTTATGGAAACCTGATAGAGCGTATCACTTCACGTAAACTAATAGGTCTTAACTGTACTAGATCTACGATAGCATAATATTCACTGATTATTCAGAGAATAGATCTAATTAGAGTAGATCTAGGGCTAGGCGAATCTAAGCTTAGACTAAGTTAGACTAGTCTCTATATTAGACTCTATATAGTATGACTATATGATATATATAGTCACCTGTTTTAAGCCAGGACACTATAGTCACTATTTAGGCTATTATTATTACCCTATAGAGTCTAGATTAGATCTATATAGTATAATTGGTATTAGTTTACTACAAAATAAAAAAATACTGCTACTAGTACTACTAACTACTCAGCAGAGTGCTAGAAACTAAGCAAGGCTAGATCTAGTCTAAAATAAAGACATTAATGACTATATACATAGATATAATATGAAAGTTCAAAGAGTTCATAGACTTATGATCTAGATCAGTAGATCATATGATAGTAGTTTAGATACCAAAAACTAAAATTGACTTTAGATCAAGTGCCTAGCAGGCTACTTCTGTTATAGACTGACGCTGATCGAGACTCTCTTCCTCAATTACTAGTTCTAGATCAGCGGTTCTCAACCTTTCTACCTCCGCGACCTCCTAACACAACTTTTCACTAGGAGGCGACCCCCAACCATAACACAAAAAAAAATTGTCCTAGGTCAAAGTGATTTAGCTAATGTTATGAAAGGGTTATCAAAACTAATATCTATGATGTTAATTTAATTGTTAGAAACGTCTCATATATATTTAGTTTAAAATAAATTAGTGCTTACATTTTTGAAAAAGTATATTTTATGATTTTCATCTATTGATTTTTCTTTTGCGTGTTTATAATATTCACGTAACTTACATAATTTACAATTTAAAAAGTATTACTTATCATGGAAAATGTGGCCACAGAAATAACAAACATGCCAACGTTAGTACGAAAGTTGAGCTTATTTTTATTTCACTAGATTAGGAATTCACATTTTCTGCATCAAGTTTATTTCTTTTTTAGACTCGATAACTAACAGGCAGAAAAAACATGTTTCATTAACACTGACTCTCATCTAGAACAGAGTGACTTCAAACAATTGATCCAGAATTGTGTAACTGACATTGAAGAGAAATAATTAGATGCATTGCTATTGACGTTGCTAATATATATGTCGATGAATAATACAGTGAATTAGGATGAATTGTTATGGGAACTCATTCTGTACCAATCATAGAACCTCCAGACCGACATCCAAGCAGATGCCACAATTATTTTTCCAAGAAGTCTTTTACTTTTTCAAATTTAACCAACTTTGTCAATTACATCACGCGCTCTAGAGGTCGTTTATAGAGTTTTGCATTGAAACTAATCTTTGAAATCGCCATTGTGTATACCGGTATATCTTAAGTATACCGGAACTAGTAATTGTGAACAATTTACAATGCCTGTGGATTCATCAAGCTGGATGCTAAATATTGTATAAGAAGCAGATATCATTTCATTAATATCAGAAGACATGTCAACTAATCTCCTGTAAATAGTGGCATTATGTATGCAAATTACACTAAATTTATTAATAAATTTGACTCCAATCATATCTTTGGCCACTGACAATAACTGCTTGATAGTGGTGTGAGGTTTCAGAACACTTGCGATTCTGAGAGCCACCAAACAAGAAGATTCATAGGCTGATATGTTTCAATTGTGGTACTTGCATCTGAGTCTAACTAAACTACTGTATGTCGTAATTGGCAAAGTTCGGACGTTTGTTCGACCTCAATATATACCGCAGAGAGAACTTCATTACAAATTTTGCATCGGATTTCTGCTTAAACTATACCGCAAAAAGAAAATTGTCATTCTCTTTCTTTTATTAACTTTCTTTTGTTCGAAGTCTGTGTTCATGAGTTGTTACATAATGAACATTTTTTCCATTGACTATAATACGATGGCCTAATATTAATTGGATTATCTTCACGACGTGATTAGATCTTCACCAAAGAAAGGTTTGATCCCACAATGGTGTTTCGATGCATTGATAGACAGTACATTTATTTGTTGAAAAATATATTTTGCAACAACAATGGTGTGGTCTGTAACATCGATTTTTAAATGACAATTATAAAAAAAAAAAAAGAAACACAAAGAAGAACAAATAAATAAAACATGTCTACTATCAAACAAGGATGTTACATTCACTAAAAGTGCCCTCTGTATCGTCTTGCAATATGTGTATGTTTATATTTGTCACCACCACTTTTTTTTTATTGAAACTTGACGATTTTCTACATTTATTTGGTAATAATGCTATTTGAGTAATGTCCCATCGCTATAGCTCACACTACAAATCTATAGCCACTATGGTACAACAAATGTTTCAACACATAAGAACATAAAACAACTTCCGATACAAAAAATTCACCCCCCCCCCCCCCCCCCCCCCAGCCCTATTTTCTGATGGTCCTAGGCGACCCCTGGCAAATGGTCATTCGACCCCCAAAGGGTCCCGACCCACAGGTTGAGAACCCCTTATCTAGATCAATCATAGATCTAAGGGTGAGATATTGAATGAGTAGATAATATATTTTATCATATTTCTAGATTAATCTAGATGTAGGTTGTAGAATATTACTATTTGCTGTTCCTCAATCAAATTTAATCTCTCATATGCTTTGGTTCAGAAAGAATCTTGACTAGATCTTTTGTAAGCTGTACATAAAATAATGTTCAGTGACAGAATTAACACACAATTTAAGCATCTGATAGTATCAAACTTAACTATCTATAAGAGATATAGACTAGCTCACCACCCGATCTCTTCAAAATAAAAATAAAAGATTTTAATATCAATGGACTAGAAAACAAGAGAATATACTATAAAATATCTTAATATTAAAATAACCTTGAGTGCTTGAGAGAGACCTGCCAACATAAACACTTAGACATAGAAAAGTAAGTTAAATTAAATGATTAATATTCAGGAGGGAATACACAATAGGAAATTTCTCTCTATCTGGAAGAAATGAAGAAAATAGGAAATGGACAAGCTCTCATCTAATACCTATTTGATGATTACCAAGCAAAAAGTCTTTCCTATTCATTGTATGGTTCCAACGTGCAATAGATGATGTTTTACCATTGGGCATGGCCTGCCAGGTCCCCTGACCTAACTGTGTGCGGCTGTGTAGAGGTATGTTAATGACAACGGTTTTGTTCCACTGTTGCCAGTTAATATTAATGACATGAAAGATCAAATAACAGCTGCAATCAACATGGTGGACGGGGACATCCTGAAGTACTTTTGGGAGGGATTTTTATATTGGCTTGATGTTGTTAATGATGGTGACCATTGAGCATTAATTAAGCATGAAATAAAAACTTATAGTTGTATTTGTGTCGTGAATTTTTTTGTATCGGAAGTTGTTTTTTTTTTATGTTCTTATGTGTTGTAACATTTGTGTACCATAGTGGCTACATTTGTGTCAAGCTAGGCATAATTTTTAAAAAGTATATATCTCCATGGTTTTTTTAAATCACCCCGTGTTTACAAACGATACTATCTATTGTGTATAGAAACGTTTTTCATTCATTTAATTTTTGAAACTAAAAGATATTTTTTTAGTTTTATTGTCGAGCATGAGCTTTTAAAATGATTCTTTTTTTAAATATCAGTAAATGATTTTTTGGGGGGGATCACATAAGTAACCTGGAATTTTAGACCCTAATCTGGAATTTTTTTAAGCCTGGAGCATGGCAACCTTGTATAAATTTACAAATTTTGATGTTGGTACACAGTTTATACAAAATTGAAGACAAATTTATTTAGCTATCACAAATTATATTATTTATACTAATAATGTACTATTGGATTATTTTTTTACTTAAAAACAGCACTAACTTTTCCTTACTTGATTTCTTGAAACTTGTTCTTTAATCAGATGAAACAGAGGATTCTCTGATCAAGGCAAATATTGTCAAGCAGAGTCAAAGTGAGTACATATTTAAAATACTTTACCAATAAAATCATAGAAAGTAAACCAAATTTTTTTTTTCAGTAGGCATCACATTTAAAGACTGTACCACAAACAAAAAATTAGAGGCAGGGTCACTACATCAATTGGACCCCACGATGACCATAAAAAAACACAAACTAAAACTTTATGGCCATATTACAAGGTCTTTGGGGCTTGAAAAGCCCTCCTCCTGGCACAATATCAGGAAAAGAAGAGGCAGACAGAGAAAGTGATGGTAAAACAACATAAAAGAATGGACATGCCTGCCATTGGCAAAAAAAAGAGGAATGTAGAAGGACAATCTTATGTTGTGCCCTAACGGTCCAACAGACTAAGGGATAGGTGAAGGTGGATTTTATACTAGAAAATACTGCATTAAACTGCAAAAGCTACTTAACTACATGCAGACCCTGCTGATCCTCATATCATTTAAACTCATTTTTAGCTAGTTTTCTTTGGCGGTAGCTTTTCTTTGGATTTCAAATAAGTATTTCTCACAGTCTTGCTAAAATTATTCGCATTGCTCTTTCAGAGGGTAATGGTTGTAGGTGCAAGCTGATGTGTTTATGAGATGCATCATGCATGTTATGCAGTCTTCCTTGCCATGTGTCTTTTTCTCCACATTATGAAATGCATGCTGCCTAACACTATGGCAACATTATATCATATTGTTATTATTATACATTATATATATATATATATATTTATTTATTTATTCGTTGGCTGCCTGGTTGTGCTGGACTGTCATTCAGTCTTTTCGATGATCCTGGTTTTAAACCCTGCCCGTTGTCCTGATGTTGTGTGAGATTTGGGCTAGGATGTAGATTATCTTCTACTTTGAAGCAACATTCGAAACATGTATAACTTTTAACAAATAAATATTGACATTCAACAGAACATCAAAAATAGATTTCAAGCATCTTTTGCGGATTTCTATGTAAAATTAATGAGTCATCATTTAATATCTCATCCTTCTGCTTGGCTTATGATATATCTAATGTTCAATTTAATATGTTATCCTTCTGCATCGCTAATGATATATTCAATCCATTATTATTGGTATCTTTTTTTATTGAGCATGGCACTAATTTATCTTCACTGCATTTCTTGATCTTGACATGTCAATCTCAGTTTCTCTTCTGCACTCTTTAGCACTTGCTTATCTTTTACAGTGGAGGGTCATTTGAACAAATCCTATTCTCATTTCACTCAGAAACGGGTGTCCACTATTAATGCCATAAATAAAACTGACATGTTATAACAAAACCAAAAAAAGTCTAAGTTCATCTTTGCTTTGAGCAAAAATTTAACATTTTAGTCACTGGTTTGTAATTTATAATTTTTTCATTATTACTTTAAAATTGCAGGAACTCATGAAGCTGAAGTCAGTTTTGGAGGAGAAGCTGATTTACACAGGCATAAGAAGAACTGCAAAAAGGACCCAAGTCACAAAAACTTCATTCCAGTCAATAATTTTAAAATAAGTCATCTTCCATGGCGATATCAGTATCCTGAGGTTTTTGAGCTCATCAAAACATTGTCAGACCTGACAGTAAGGGTTGGGGTTCGATACACCAGTCTAGAAAGAACTGAATTCTACCCAGACTCTGCAGTTCCTTATCCTTTTTATGCCTACCGGGGAAGAGTTTTCATGCGAACAGGAACAGGAAGTGTCACAGATGTTGTGAAGATTGTTGGCTCTGAAGATGATGCTTGTCCTTGCACAGAGTGTAAGGCTTCAGGGAATCCCAAAAAGAGTTGGTGCCATTTTGATATTTTGACTGCCACCCATGTTGTGTATGATAGTGATGAGGCTGTGCATGCAGAGTGTAAAGTGGATTATGTCAGTGATGACAGCAGTGACATTGTGCTAACGGGTGTCAGTGCTGATGCAGAGATTGAATCAGACAAGTGCAGGATGGTGTGTGTATCACATGATCTAACCCTGGCGGATAAATTCACGCAGTTGCTGGACAAATTTAAGGACCTCTGTGAAAAAGTTCATGATAAATTCAACAATAACAAGGGCTTCGAGACTCTGGTGGTTGTTCCCTCTCACCCCCATGGCTGCCCCAAGCAGATTTCAATTGGTAAATGGACAAAGCGCTTTGACATGGTAGAGTCTTACTACACTGCCTTCACTTACAATGCTTCCACATGTCCTGGCAGCAGTGGGGCTCCCTTGTTCATCATGGCTCGAGATGTTTCTTGGTGGCCCTACACCTTCATACACAGTGGCTCCAACCTAGAAGGTAATCATTGTGGAGCAACATGGGAGGCTTGACCCGAGTAAAGTCAACTACATTTTTCTATTTCTAATAGAGAGTCCTTATCTTATTAAGAAATGTGTCTAATTAGGGTTCATCATCTTCAGCATTTTTTTTTCTTATGGACAGTGAGTAATTTACAATCTAAACTGCTGAATTCCTGTGTAGATTAGATGCCAGTGGAGCAGATGGTGTAAATGTTGTGTTACTGTGACCTAAAGTTAGTGAAGGCATCAGATCCATCACAACCACTATTACATTCCTCAAGAAATGCCAAGTCCTCAATTGTGCTGCTTTTGTCAGTGACATCATATATTAAGTATAAAATTCCTAGCATACAAGCTTCAAACATTGATTTCTCTGGTAAAGCACTTACCACTTGGCTTACTATACGAGTATTTCATATAAACAGCAGAAATGAGAATACTTGTACTCTATTATGACTATAGAAGTGGAGATTATCAAGGACAGAGCTATGGAAAGTGTGTCATCTGAGGTGCAAAGGCGTAAGAAATTAAATGAACAGTATACAGTAGATATTCTACAATTGTTCTACATGTGTTCCTTGACAAGCAATGTTATTGTTTTGAGGATTTACAGTATTTTTTCTTCACTTTTTTCACATGATCTCAGTATTACTACACTCTTTTGTATTAGATGTTTAACAAACAATTGCGATTCGAGAATATAAGTCAATATATTCAATTTGTATTTCGATAGATTTTTAGACAAATAGATGCCATTTCTTTAAAAGCAGAGACTACAGACCCTTAGTCTTTGCTCATGGGCACTTAGCCTTTGCTTATAGGCCCTAAGTATTTGCTGATTCTTGTCTGTTATTATTGACCTCATTAAGTCTCTACTGAAATGTATACACCATAATATCCTTACTCTAGTTAATTAATACATAACTGTCCCTGACAGTATGTAACACTATTTTAGAATTATTTTTTTTCTCTGAGTATTAGCAACGACTTTTTAGTAAAGCCTCTATTGTTGTGATATCTGCCCATATTCATCTGTCATCTGTATATCTCAAAAACAAGAGGCCCAATTAAAAAAACGCCATTTCATAGAGGCTTACATCATACTTTACATAGATGCAAAAAAAGTGTTCACTTCAATTTTGTACAATTAAATATGAATATTGTATGTTAAAATATTTTTTTAATATAATGTGAACAAGCAATAGAAAAAACAATAAATTTTAAAAAGAAAGCTTATCTAAGGTAAAGAACCATTAATTACTGCAATTTATCTGAAAATTACAGAGTTTATCTCCCTTTCTGTTATATAAAACAAAATAAATTAATAAGTACTAAATGATTAACTAATTGGTTAATTTTGGATTTTTTCATGTATTGTCATTGACTATAAAACGACTATGAATATGTTATATACAATAGATAATACAAGAATGGGAAGTGGGATAAAGAACTTTAATAAGGGGATTAAATCTATTTACCTGTATACAACCACATCTCTCATTAAGTAGCATTTATTCCCCTTATTTCAATATCAAACAAAATAATTGATCACCAACAATTAATTAACTAATTGTTTAATTTTTTTTTTAAATTGACTCGTGTCTTGTCAGGTTCAATGAATAATTGTGCTAAGTTCTTACTTGATACGAGAATGGGAAATGGAAGAAAAAACATGTTCAAACTTTTTACCAGACAAACAGAGTGAGTTGATATAAGCTTTGGAAAAAGTCAGTTTGTGTAACAAGATGACAAAGATCTTCATTCATCTTTCTCCTGCAAAATAGTTTTATTGATAGTAATGCTCTCATATCATATAATGGTCACTTTTCTGAAAGGGATTTAGGTCTGGACTTATGATTTATTGTATGAGTAAAACTGAAGGGCTTAGAATTTTATGTAATCATTATTTTTTTAAGGACATGCATACATTTTTTTTTCTTTTGAAATAATTGGTTTATTAAGGCTATTAGTAGAAAATTTTAATTCATGTATTTTATAATATAATAGTTCAAGTATTTGAACCTAATTTTTTTATTATAATGTTTTTTATTTTACATTCTCACGTTTGCTATTTTACAAAAAACAAAACAAAAAACAACTGAAATGACAATATCTAAAGCAGTTTTTTAACAAATTATATTAGTGTAGGCCTATAATCATATTGTGATTACATATCATACTGTGATTTATGTTCATTTTGAAATTATTTTTTTTGTTAAGTTCACAAAACCACAATCTCATAAGTTATTCTCGTATTATATTTAAAAATCCAATCTTCGAATTAATGTAATACTGGTACATAACATGGCATGTAAAATAAAAATGTATAAAAAAAACAAAAAACACTGACAGCAAAGGTCCAGGTATACAAGAAAACAAAATAAATCAATTATTATAGAAAAAGTTATTAAGAAAAGACAATTTCTTTATTATGCAGCTGATTATATTTTCTTGTAAGATCCCAAATTTTGCTCTTATTATATGTGAGCTTGCGCTCCCAGAGCTATATTTTTATGTATTCTATTTTTTATAGGCTATTGCCAAATTTATTATTTGTACTTCCGCTTTTTGTGTAGGTTAGGGTGGGGTGTATAAAAAGTGATGTCATGCTGTTTCAAAACAGTTGAGTGAACAGTTGGCCAGTGTACGGTCAGTACAGCATCTTTCTCTGTGTGACGAGAGGTCTTGGTGATCTTAAGTGTTAGGAATTGTTTTCAGTATTTTTATTTCTGTACCTGGAACGGCCCGCTATTACTGCTGCTATAGAGTATTACTCTGCTGTTTTAACTGCTGAATATAATTCTGCTGCAATTACTCTGCTGTTTTAACTGCTAATTATAACTGCTTGCTGTAGATCTAGAATCTAGTGTTATTTTGTTTTTGTAGTGTAGCCTTAGTGGCTTAGTAAACTTAGTTATAGTCTGTTTCTGTTCTTACTGAATGCTAATAGTAAGGTACTAAGACTAAGATATTCTTGTTTTAGTTTTAGTTATGTGTTGGTTATAGTAGTAGAATATTGTAGATCTAGACTAGTTTATTGTAGTGTGTTGTGTAGATCTAAGTCTAGTATAGTAGTAGTTGTCTTGTAGTGATTTAGTTCTCTTTAGTTATATAGCTGTTTTGATCAGTTTGTGTTAGATAGTTGGTTTTATCAGTTTGTGTTAGATAGTTGGTTTGGTTAGTTTGTAGTGGCGTAGATTTAGAGAGTTGTTTATAGTGGTTAATGTATATGTTATATTTTATGTAAATAAAGTTCCGTTTTGTTTATTTATCCTAAACTAAAGTTTTGTTATCTTGCTTTTATTTAGTTTAGGTTAGTATAGTTAGTATGTCTGGCTACTTAGGCGACTCTAGCCCCTTGGTCACCATACTGAGGTGCACAGATTGAGCCCACCCAGTAGCGCTAACATCTGCCTACTGTTAAATAATTTAATGTTGAGCAGAGAAAAGGTCTCTCCCACTCGCGCCTGCCTGACCTGCTCACATATAGCTAATGAGGGATAAAGAACGAATAAGGAACTTTTTGTTTTCTTAGACCCCCCCCCCCCTCTTTTATTTTCCAAAATAAAAATCCTGGTTATAGATCTACGTCTACTCAGCGTATACGCCTTAATGATAGGCCCAATGTTGATGTGTGTTTTATATAGGTTGTACCACTCTGTGTTTGGGAGTAACATTCCTTGTAACTGTTGTTGTCAACCAAGATGGCGTAAGATTAAACAGCTGATTTCATGTCTTATAAATTATATCCAGAGTTTTGTTATTATTCTTTCATGACAATTAACACCCAAAGATATAGACTTGTAAGACAGTGCGCAAAATGAAGGTCTGTTTATGTATTTATTTTATACTTGAGAATAGCCTACATACGGGAATATACCCGCTGACGTGTGTTTAAGATATAGATAACGGTCAAACCTTCCTGTTGTGGCCAAGAAGCTAGTCATTCATTTCCCAAAGATATACTTAGCTGTCAAATTTCTAGGAAAATCGTTAGAGGCGTTTACGTGATCCGTGTCCACCCTAAACCCATCAAGAGTTTGCAAGCTGTAAAAAGGAACTGTAAAAAAAAAAAAAAAAACGTGACTAACAATATAATAAGAGGATTGTTTAACATTTGAAAGAAAATATTTAAAGTCAAAATGCAAGAAAATTGAGACACTAAAAATTATTCAAACATACTCAATGTGCTCCTTGAGGATCTATTTGCATGACGGACCTGAGTAAGGCCAATAGGATGGCTTTAAAATCTCGCCCAAGATCACCAATGGCGCACCATCATTTCCTGAGCAGATGGGTGTGGCATACCATGCTTTCCCGTTCTCCGTTTTCGGTTTCCATTTCCCAAACCAGAAATGTTTCGGACTGCCATGGGGGTGAGAGATGATGATGCTTTCTTCCGGGCGTATTGGGACCCCCGATACTACTGGCTCTATTTTCCGTTTAAGTTCTTCGCATAGCAGCAGGGCGTGGGACAGCTTCTCTAATAGCTCCATGTCGCACGTGGAGCACACGAGGGCGCTTCTGTCACTCTCCATGTCTGCGTAGCTCATGCTCCTGCCCTTGAGCGCCGTCGCCGGGCCGGCCTCGTCGTTGTAGAACAGCCAGCACGTAGACTTCTCCGCCTCAAACCGATCAAAGACGTTGTGGGTGTTGGTGACGATGGTCACGTCACCCCAGACTTTGCTTGGCGTCTCCGAGCTTCTGCACTTGGGGCATCGGCAGTCCAAATTCTCTTTTTCCAAATACCTCTTTATCTGGTCCACCCATCCCGTGGCCATCCTCTCCTTCCCTGACCCCCACATGTCCTGAAAAGGGTAGACGACGTCTGTATCTGGGTAAGTTTCAGGTCTGTTAGGGCTGGTGAAGCTTGTAGTGATTTTGACCGTGAGGTCGGCGAGCGCCATGAGAAAATTAAAAATGTCTTTATTGTCCTGGTAGCTTTCCGGAAGATGACTTTTAGTTATACCTTTGACAGGAATCAACTTTGAAAATGTCGCTTGCTTTTTACAAACTAAAATAAATTCAAAAGTATATACACGTTATTTTTTTTTTAAAAGTTAAGCTGCTTGCACACTATACGGTTTGTCGTAGGTCACAAAAAAAATGTACGGCCGAAGATGTGTGGAAGGGTATATAGGAGCCTTAAATTCTTTAATTCTTTTTGTGCTAAACGCAGGTGTTATTCATGCGGCCAATTTGTATAAAATTCATCTTACAAAACCCTCACAACAAATGAGGAATAATATGACATGGCGAAATCTGTCCAATGTTAAAGTATAACGGCGTGTTTTTTTTTAAATTTTGTTGTTGTTTTTTCCCATACTGTCTAAAACCATCTAGTGTGTAAACAGCCTTGGATTCTTATTTCTCATAAGTCTAAACTTAGAAAATGTATTACTAGATTAAAAAATTGCAAGTTATTTACAAGCAAATTACGAAATACGTGATCCCACTTATTGATTGTTTTTCCAGTAATTTAAAACTAATTGCTCTATCAAGATTTTGACTCTGGGACAATTTTTTGTTCAAGCATCGCAATTTAAATAATGTTAAACAACAATAATTTCCCTTACATGATAAATATAATAATAGTTAATAATAATAATAAAAATCATCACCAAACGACATGTAAAGTCAAGAAAAAGTGTTCACCAACAATTTTTAACAGATTCGACGCAGACAGCCGTTAGACCAGTGTTTCTCAAACAACTCGCACATTCAGAGTATTTAGCGGAACACATTGCTTATTTTTTTCGAGTGATTACTTCAAGCGGGTGGCCAACTAGTAGTACTTAGGCCTATTAGTAGTACTAGTACTTAGGCCTATTAGTAGTACTAGTACTTTTACTAGCAGCAAAACACAAAGAAAAGCAATCTGAACGGAAAAAGACTGGCTCATCCGACGCACAGTAACGTTCTAGATTCTAGATCTACTCATAAGCGGCGAAAATTCCTTTCCAAGATAAGGTTTTATAGTCATAAGAAATTCTGTACCGGACGAGCTGCATTTATCTTACCACTGAAGGCTGTCAGTGATGCCGCATATAATAAGAAAATTAGGCCTAAATCATGTATAGGCCTATATATTACACTAAGTGAGTAAATATTTCAGCATTTATTGAAAAAAAAAACACAACGTTTTAACAGAATTAGGCCTAATAGATCAATTTTGGACATTGCATTTAACCTACCTGTGATATTTTTTAGCGAAGACGTCATTGTAGGCCCTCTACTAAGTTTATAGACCAAATTTCTTGACTTGTAAGTGTAGGCTTATCTAAAAATCAGGATAAATGTTTCATAATCTTGAAGTGTAAAGATGAACAATTAAGTCAGAAACAGAAGAAAAAGACCTAAGCAGAAAACAAGGCAGTGGAACAGAAGAATCAGGTAACTAAAAGATACAAGTGACATATAGGCAAAAGAAGCAGTTGACGATCGCATAGGCCTTAAGCTACCTGAAATGTTTACGTAGGCTATGCGGTTTATAGATTAGTACATTAAATTGTTATGGTCACATAACAAAGTTGTGAATTATATGCTGCAGATAATATATGGTCTCCTCACTAGCGGATCCAGAACTTTGGAGTGGAGGGGGGCATTTTTTCCCAAACCCTAACCCTAACGTCCTGTAAACCCTAACCCTATGCATATACGTGCGTACATATATATATATATATATATTGTAACGAATCTCACTATCGAGGCTCTCTGCAAACTGCACCTTACACCACCAACTTAAAGAACTTGACAAAACAGGGCTCCAAAGTAGCGTAACAGTTTAATGTCCAATAAATTACAGCCAATAAATAACAATTGGCAACACGTAACACAGGATGTACAAATATCTCTCGGTATCAACCGTACCGCCGTATCAACTCTTGCACTGGCCTCTCCGTCTCGTTCCGGGCTTGCACTGGGTTCAACAGTTCAGGACTGACTTCACACACTGGGCTCGTTGTGTCGGACTCGATCACAGACCAAGATCAAGACGCCGTTCGTCTCAACTGTACTTGATAGTACTCCGCACTGAACCGTCGTAATGCTGCGTACAGAACCACACTGAACTGTGCTGTAGTCGACCGGACTGTATTGAACCGGACTCTGAGCCCCTGTCGTGACCGTCTTAACTGCGATACCTCTGCTCTTTATATAGGGTCCCTAATGGCCTTCTAGAACCGGACAGAACGTCGCTCGACCATTCTGGGTGGTCAGATGACTACGTCCCTCGTGACGCTCCTGAGCTCTGTTCACGACGCCGATCCTTCCCAAACCGTCATGTTGACACTCGTCTTGGCTGACCGTCGTAACTCGTCACGGTTTAGCGCTGGCCTCGGGCGATTTGCGTCGGCTGACTACACACATACCACTACCCCCATCTGTGCCACCAACAGGTTTATAATATATATATCACATATATAATTATTATAAAAAAAGCAGTGTTTCACAAGCTTCGGCGAAAGAACAATACAAAAAAACAGAGAATCCTTTCTCTTGCAAGTTAGTGTCTGGGAGAGCGCTTTAAGCTTACCCAGTGGGGTTCGGGGTGAACTGCAGAAACGCATTCTCCAGACATCTACAGTCATTATTCATCAGAGGGGTTCGGTGCGAAGCCCCCACGCCAAAAGCGTTTTATTGCATTCTTCACTGCAGAAACGCATTCTCCTGACATCAGTGTATAGATGCTGATATTTAACCACTTGAATGAGACATTCAGATTTATGAAAAGTACTTAAGCTGACAACTCATTTAGACAGTGGTTCTTATCATAAACAGAGGAAAGCGCAAAGTGTTTAAGATCAAGGTGTCTAACAAAAAACCCACCATGATA